CTGGGGGTGTGTCGCAGTGGTTGAGTGCTACTGAGCTCAATCTCCAGTACACCCTCCCCAACACACACACACACACACACACACACACACACACACACACACGAGTAGGATTAATTGTAACTTCCTTAAATATGCTTATTTAACATGACATCAAGTGTTCTCAGATGGCCTGGTCATTGGACAAAGAAATGGGTCCTGCCTCTGACCACTCCATGGTGACCCTTGAGTCACCATAAGGTATTTTACCTTAAAGATGGATGTGTTAGATCCAGTAAATTGATAAAGAAAAAGCAGAAGAGAAGTATGATTCAAAAGCCGTCATTTGCCAATTATTAGTAGTAACTGATATGTTAATGCAAGTGATTTTAGATGCAGATGGTCCCTGACTCATGGTGGTCTCCCTTAGGAATTTTCAACTCAAGATGGTGTGAAAATGACAACCTGTTCTTTGATCTTTTTCCGGGCTAGCAATATGTGGCATGATCCTCTGTAAGGGTAGACAGGGACGGTTAGCCCTGCAGTCAAGAGGCGGGAAAGAGCAACACTGCGTGGTGTGCCCTGTGTTGCTAAGACAGGCTGGGCATCAGGTCAGGTGTACTCAATGCATTTTTTTGAGGTGGGGGGGTTAATGCTGGACATTGAACCCAGGCATTACTTCACCATTGTACTCTACCCCTAGCCTCCCACATTTTCAATTCATGATGTGTTTATTTGGACATGATTCCATATAAGCCTGTAATTGCTGTTGTATCATATTTATATTGCTCCAAAATCTTTGCCAGCAGCAAGAATTGTGTTAATTATAAATTATAGTTAAAATTTAGAATAGCTGTGGAACCCATTTACAATTTAAAGAATTGATGTTAAAATCTCTTTTATGAACACTCACTGAAGATTTAGAGAATGAAAAATGTTGCTAACAAGTTAAAATCACGTCATCACAAAAATGTTTTGCATACCAGGTCTCTTTGCTGACGCAGAAGTTGAAAGAACACTGCAAGGTTGAATATCAAATTAAAACATTTTCTGGGCAAACCCATGGTTTTGTGCATCGCAAGAAAGAAGATTGTCTACCTGCTGACAAGCCTTACATTGATGAGGCGAGAAGGAATTTAATTGAGTGGCTGAACAAGTACATTTAGTAGTGAACAGGTACACTCTCAAAACAAGACTCATCCAAACGGTTGCCTTCCAATACTTACCATTTGATTTTTTTTACTTTAAATAATTTCAAGATTCCAACATTTATTTTATATAATCTAAAATACATTCAATGGAAAATGTTAATATATGAAAATAATTTTAACATGTTTAAATAAAAAATAAAAATGAAATAAAAAAAAGAAATAAAAAAAAAGTTCTGTACCCGGAGAATCTGAATGATCAATACCCTAGCTATTAGAAAACACCTGGGCTCTCCAGGGAACCAGCTGAGAGCACAAGTGTGGCCTCTCTGGTCTTTAACTGAACACATCCTTTAAAATGACTAAGGTGTGAAGAAAYTTAACTGTGAGCTGGGGCAGAGTAAGATACACTTGGACTTTGTCTTAAGAGAACTGAATTTGTCACATTTATGTTGTAATGAGAAGTGTTATAATTGAAATGTTCCCATGGATCGAACTATATCAAGCTAATAAACTGACTTTGATGTCTCTGGGTTGCAGAGGCTGGCTTTARACTCTTGATTCTCTGTGCCTAGTTTATTTCTAAACAGAATGATGGAGTAGAGTAACCATCCTGCAGTTTTCTAGGCAGTGGTTTCCCGACCCTGGGGCTGGGGCTGGGGCTTACTGTGATGGTGGAGAGTGAAGTCCCTAGTGTGTACTTGCTCCTCCTCAGGACTGTTATGACTTAGGGCAAATGACATGTTGGGTTGTTTTCTAATTTGGTCTTGGGTCTCTTTCATGGAAGTGGCAATAAACTCTACCCAGCTCCAGAGGTCTTGGTCACAGATGTTTTCAGTGTCCCTTTCACAGGACACTTTTTTTGGGGGGTGGGGTGGGAACAGAGTTTTCCTATGTTGCCCAGGCTGGCCTTGAACTCCTGGGCTCAAGTGATCATCTTGTTTCAGCCTGTAGTAGTAGGGACTACAGATAGGTTCCTGTGCCCTTGCTGGATGACCTCATGCATACCTATCTGACCTGTGTTCTTGGGCTCTCACATGTGTCCTGCTGCTTACTACTGAGATGGTGTTCCTCTAGGAAGGAGAGTGCTGATCCGGAGGGCAGTTAGGCTCAGTCAGTAGATGACAGAGGCAATGAACTGTTCAGTAAAGCACTGGATAGCAGAAGCAGCATTACCAACAGATCCTGGAACAGGGGTAGCATGCCTCGTAGAGCGGAAGGCAGTGGGGAGCCGTCCAGGACATGCATGCCCAGCCAACCAGTGCAGATCACAAGAGCCGGTGAGGAGCCTGTGGGCTGAAGACTTCACGGGGTTCCAGTGTTACCCAAGCAGCTTCTCACAGGGAATTCTAACTGGTGGATTTAGAGCAAACAGGCTTGAGTTGTGTGGGGTCGAATTTTGACTGACAGCTTACTGGCACATGTGCACAGTTCACATGGGGTGTAGGAGTCAGTGAGGTGTCACATAGGTTTCTAGCTGTCCCATAGGGAGCTGGTCACCAGGAGGTGATTGTGTGAGATTAAGTCCAGAATGACCACCCTGAGGAACCAGGGGATGAAGCACTAGAAATTGTCAAAAGCAACTCAGCCTGGCTTCTGGTYGATTATTGAATCTACACGGAGCAGATGTGGAGACAACATAAAATCCTAAGTTCACTACACTTGACTTTTCTGGGCCTGTTTTACATCTTACCAAATGGGGATGAGAAAACATTTTGCATTAGGTTGARCATTAAAGTCAGAGCACAGGCTGTTTGCACTTAGTTACAGCCTTACACACAGGGTGCTTAGGACACCTTTCTCATTCATCCAGTCTCCCAGGACCTGAGATRTGCTGGTTTGTTAATACCTGTCAAGGTACCTGGTGAGTATGTGGGCAGGTAGTTGAGTCTCCATGATTAGTATACGAAAATTTGATTGCTAGGCAGGTCTGATTTGATTTGCATTCCAGTGTGTACCCAGAATGTGTGGTGCAARTTTTAATAATGCTTTTAATATCCAACTGCAGTTCTACACACCAAACTTATGAATGCTAACACTTATTCCTAAATCCACAGATTATTTAGCCAAGTACTAAAAGTCCTTAATAGAGAGAACACCCAATAGCTAGTRTCTGGGCTCACAAACCTGAATGTTACTTAGGCCATTTAGGAATCCAGTTTAATTCTATGGGATTTAATTCAGCATATTCTCTCCCACTGGTGGCATATAAGTAAACTCTTACCATATGGGAACCAAATACAAGTAGGAACAAAATAGGGGATAAGATGGGAACTTTAAACAGACTGCCTCTCCTATTTGCAATGAGATGCAGCAGAACACCAACTCACCTGAGATGTGAACAGCAAAGACTGGGTTGAGAGCTGAGACAACCCAGGTGAAATTCTCAGATCAAGGCCTAGKCCTTATGAAGGGCTGTGGCTGTTGTTACAAAGCAGAATTAATACCAGTCTATTATACCTGGCAATTGCAAGGCCCACTAGAGCCAAAGAGTCCTAATCTCAATTAATTTTGCTCCTTTTTAAGAAGAAAACAATTGGATCTGAACTGTCTTCTAAGCCTCTGCTGGTGGTACAACTGCCCACACTGGTTCTGATTTTGCATGCTGGAGTGTGACCAGGACCAAAATCAAGCAAAGGGGACAACAAGAGCATTAAATCCTTTACCACTGGTCTTATCAGCACCATGAAAAAGTATCCACTTGTGCTACTGTAACCCAGTTAACAGGACTTTAGATGCTGGAATACTCATCTACGATGAGGAATGAGATCAAGCCCACACTCGTCTTAATGCTGTAATGTATCCCAAGAACAAATGCAATGTTTAAACTCCTTGAAACAATTTCTACAGCTTCTTTGGGGAAAAAATATACTCAAACCCCTTCAATTAAGGCAGCTTTTAATTAATGGTACACTAAATGTTTCTTGAAGAAAATTAAGATTATGTTTAAAGAGATCTCTTTAATGAATACAAAAGCTTGTGAGACAGTATCCCTACAATTACACAGCTCTGAACAAGTGAAACCATGGTTACCAAACAACTATTTTTATTATAGCATCTACAGTATCTGAAAAAGGGAAGTAATAATAAATAACTGTAGCTGCATCACAAGACACCCATTTATTTAATCACAGTAGTAAATCTTGCTACTACATTTTATTCTAAACTTTTAAAATTTTTATTCTTCAGATTCTCCAGGCTTACGGATGTCATCAATCTTCAAAATCATTCTAACCATCTGTGTTGCAAGAGATATCTGTTGCTTTTTGCCAATCAAGGTTTCTATGACATGTTGTTGTTGCATATCTGAAAAATAAAGTAAATCAATTACCCCAAAACAGCATACATAGCCAATCAATAAGCAGCTTAAATTTATGAAATCACAGTGAAACTTAAATACAGCTGGTGTGGTGCTGTACATTTGYAGTCTCAGCTAGTGGGAGGCTGAAATAGGAGGATMCCCTGACTTCAAAAGTTTGAGGCCTAGTGGGCTGTACACAGCGAGACCTCATCTCAAAATCAAACTCAACCAAATGGAACAAAACAAGAACAAAAAAATCCAAATCAAACTGTGGTGCCCAAGTGGTCATTAATCTCAGTTAATTTTCAGATGAATTTCATTACTCCCAAGGACATTCTGGAATTTGAATCTGGTTAACAGTTGCAAGGGGAGAGGATTCTCAGTAACTTACTGAAAACAAATCATCAGCAACACTGCATCCTACAAAGCATCCACAACCCAACTTAGTACATCTTGAAGGTATCTGAAATGTTTCCTAGAAATGCTTATATTAATACACACAGTCCTTCAAGTTAAAAACATTAAATACTTGTCTGTCAAGGAGTTATTGTTACTAAAATCCCTGGCATGTTGAACCTGAAAAACAGAAATATACCTACACTTCTATGTAAAAACTGTCACATTATGTGGTTGGGACTGTTTGCAAGAATCCAGTTATGGCCTGATTAGACAGAAATCATGAGACCAATGATGCAACAAGCTAAAGTTCTCCAYCTGTTCAACAGCAAGAGAAGTTCCCGTGCACTGATTTACAAAACATTCACTTGTCTAAGGGCATATAACCACACAGTAAGCTGTGAACTAAAAGTCCATTTCAGAGCTGTTTTATGACATCCAGAACTCACTGATAAGACATTTGTGTTAAAAAGGAAGGCAATTATTTTTTAAAAGCAGAGATTAAGATATGCCATCCTTAGAAATTCCATATAGTATCTTATGGTTACTGTAATGAGTTTCACGTTGCTAGGGCTAACCAACTCTTACAGTTTAAAACATTCTAAAATCCAGGACTAATAGCCAAAGCGTGTTTAAGTWTTTAAAGAGATGATAAATCTCATAGCATATACAACATACTGAACAGTAACATTACTCTTCAACTTAAAGCTCCACACAAAGAATCATGACAGTTCCTYACCATTTGTACCCTTGTGCAAACAGTCAATTCCAAGAGCAGGGTTCTTCTCCTTTACTTGTTTAGCTCGGACTTCAGTCATGGTCTGGATGGGATTCATGCCACTGTTTTCAGAAAGGGCCATGGGGATGACCTCCAATGCATCTGCAAAAGCTCTCATGGCATACTGCTCCAAGGTTGGGCACTGGAAGGGCACAAGGGTATAGTAAGTGCRTTTGGGAAAAACCAGACCCAACCAACACCATCCAGCAGTAATCTGCAAACAATTATATTATTATATACTTTGRAAAGACTACTTTTAAAGAGTTGAATAAGTTGTCTTGATTTTTTTTTTCACTGACCAGAAYAGAAGGTTTTACAGAATAAGAGTGGAGATTATAAAACACATGTCTGAGAAATGTTTTTACAACGAAGCAGGTCTCACTGCTTTATTTTTAAGTTAGAAATACTGATTTGTAATGATYGAAAATGGCCAAGTAATGCTAGTGTTATGGTGATGTGAGTTGGAGCTTGTAAGAAAGTCCTGTGAATGAACTAAGGTTAAACACTCATGAAGCTCACGATGCTTCTGTTCCACAGCCTTACTCTTACGCATACC